ATATTGTTTTGTTCTTTTATTGAAATATCCAGTTAGTCTAAAAACAGCAAATCGGACTTATAAATACCTAAGCGAGGAAGCGACTGTTGGCGAGATCAAAGGGATAGAGAAAAGAATGTTAATGGAAGCTGGGTCCATGAAAGTTTATGCTTTCCTGTACTTTTTTCTTGTTAAAAGTTTAGTCTGTGTGTAATGTGTGCACACGAAGGCCAAGCATATGGAAGTGAAGAACAACTCTGTAGTGAGTTCTCTCTTCCACCCTCACGTGGCTCCCAGGATGGAACTCAGGTTGCACCGCTTACCTGCCAAGTGAGCGCTTTTATCCACTGAGTCATTTGCCTATGCTATTCTGATTATTCTAGAATGGAGGCCAGAGGAAGACTCCGGACTCCTCGGAGCTAGAGTCATAGGCTGATGTGGGTGAGAACCACACTTCTTAGGTCCCTCAGCAAACAAGTATTCTTAATCACAGCCATATGCACGCCCAAAGGATTTTTTTTTTCTCAAGACAGGGTTTCTCTGGGTAGCCCTAGCTGTCCTAAAACTTATATGTAGGCCAGGCTGGCCTTGAACTCACAGCGATCCACCTGCCTCCTCCTCCTCCTGAATGCTGGGATTAAAGGTATGCACCACCACCACCGGGCTCACTTTTATGATTTAAAATTACATGCACTGGTGTGTGCTGAGGGGAGTTACGGGCAGGTGACTATGGGCATCCAGAACTGAACCTGGATCTTGTGAAAGAACAGTATATACTTTTTTAAGGTTTATTTTAGTTTTAACCATGTGTATTTGTACACACAAGAATATGTTGTATCCCATGGAGTTGGAGTCATACAGTTCTGTACCTCCTGATGTGGAAACTAGGAACCAAATTCAGCTCTTCTACATAAACAATATGTGTGCTTAACCACTGAGCCATCTCTCCAGCCCCATTTTTGTTTTTATTTATTTGTTCATTTATTTATTTGGTTTTTCGAGACAGCGTTTCTTTGTGTAGCTTTGGAGCCTACCCTGGAACTTTCTCTGTAGACCAGGCTGGCCTCAAATCCACAGAGATCCACCTGCCTCTGCCACCTAATGCTGGGATTAAAGGCATGTGCCACCACCGCCCAGCTCAACCCCATTCATAAAGGAGGAGCAATACAAACCACAATTTTTTTCTTTAAATATTTATTTTATGTATATGAGTGTTTTGCCTGCATATATGTATGTGCACCACATCTGGAGCATCACACATGTGCTGGTGCCCAAAGAGTCAAATGGGGACACTACAGTTTATACAGCTGGGTGAACCTGGACCCTCTTGCAAGAGCAGCAAATGCTCTTAACTGCTGAGTCATCCCTCCAGCCTGGTCAAACAGCCATTTGTAACTCATCTAGAACTCTTTGCACCCTTGAAGGGTTCTTCTGTGGAAGTTTAATCAGAGGTTAACTCCCCTACCAGATTATGAATTTCTTTAAAAGCAAAGCAACGACTCTTCTTTCATTTTTACTTGTACTGCCCCTCCTGCATAATGTGGCCTACATGTATTTCTTTCTACTCAGTCCCACTGCAAAACGGGACAGCACCGCTTTAGAGTCAGGAGAAATGTATGCTTGTGTATTTCTTATTCTTAATAGATATTAGTGGGAAAGCTCTAAATGGTTTCTGTTTGGTTTGATTTTATTGACTTATTCCGGAGGTGCTTGTGTGGAGTCAGAGGACAACTGTCTGGAGTCACTTCTCTCCGTTGAGAAAGTGGGTCCCAGAACAGAGCTAAGTCGCATCTGTGCTCGGGGAACCCTCTAACACCTTGGTTTTGTTTGTGTCCCGTGTGGTTCAGGTGGCCTTGAGCCTGTTGTTTACTGGATATTAGGAAAGCAGACACGCACAGCCAGCACGCAGAATGTCATTTCACCTTAACACAGCCTTGTCAGTTTAAGAAAACCACCTAACCTTCTACTATAGTTTTCGCAACTATAATATGAAAACATCTTTCAAAACTAATAGAAGATCAGAAAAAAAATTAAATAATCAAAGCACTGTTCCTGGCACAAAGCCATCAATAAACACCCCACATGTCAATTACACGTACTGACTATCTCCCACCACATCTCACTTACACTTCCTGAGTTTGCTACCTGTTCTCTCTGAACTGTTCTGAATACAACTGACCAACTCATCTACCCACTGGGGTTTACTAATCATATAATTTCCCTGCTCAAAAACTATAGGCTTCCAACGAAGAGTCTATACTACTCTTGAATATTTAAGGAGCTCCGTGATATGGTAGCCGTCCACACAGCTACTCTGTGCATAACCTAACAGAAGACTGACTGCAATAGACCCCTTGTCCCACAACTAAGGAACAGTTCCCATTTTACCAAGACCAACTTAATGTGCCAAATGCCTTGACGAAGTCTTCCTTGATAGTCAAAAAAAAAAGTAACCTCTCTCTAAAATCTTGTACCCTTTATGTTCACAGAGAGCTAAATAAATATCAGCTGGAGCATTCTACATCAGATACTGATTAAGAACTGTGTTTATGCTTGGTGGTTTTCGGTGGTGGCACATATCTTTAATTCCTTGGGAGGCAGAGGCAGGCAGATCTCTGTGAGTTCAAGGCCAGCCTGGTCTACAAAGTGAGTTCTAGAACAGCCAGAGTAACACAAAGGAACTCTGTCTCAAAAAAAAAAAGAAAAAAAATTGCTTGGTTTCAAGGCCTTTGGTTTTGTAGACTTTTTTGAATTGTAATTTGAATTCTCACTCTTAAGGACTACACTCCAATGATCAGGCATTTTGGAGATACGACGGTAAACTTAAAGAATTCCGATGCCTCTTTACACACCAAATGCAAGCTCTAATCCAAACACATCGGTACTTATCTCCCACACACCCTTACTCCTTCAAGAGAAGTTCAACTGTGATTTCTTCTAAACCTCCTTCAATCCCTCCCAGAAAGTCTCCTAGGATCCTTAATGTCTGTCTAAGACTGAGGAGAGAAGTCAGTGATGAAGGAATGGCAATCCTCCTAAACTAGATGCGTACTCCACACGTACGATTCTTTCTTCAAAAAACATTCTTTCTGGGCTGGAGAGATGGCTCAGTGGTTAAGAGCATTGCCTGCTCTTCCAAAGGTCCTGAGTTCAATTCCCAGCAACCACATGGAGGCTCACAACCATCTATAATGAGGTCTGGTGCCCTCTTCTAGCCTGCAGCCATACATGAAAACAGAATATTGTGTACATAATAAATAAAAAATATTAAAAAAAAAACAACATTCTTTCTAAGGACAGGTTTCTCTGTGCAGCCCTGGCTGTCCTGGAACTGGCTACGAGACCACGGTGGTCTTGAACTTACAGATTTTCATCTGCTTGCTTCTGCTTCCTAAGTACTGGGGTTAAAAACATTCACAGCGGAGCCGGGCATGGTGGTGCACACTTTTAGCCTCAGCACTCGGGACACAGAGGCAAGTGAATCTGGGAGTTCAAGACCAGTCTGATCTACAGAGTGAGTTCCAGGACAGCCAGGGCCACATAGCGAAGAAAAGAAAAGAAAAAAAAAAAATGAACACCATGCCTGACTCTTCCTTCAAATTCTATGCCTCTCCTCTTCTATATAGAGGTCTGTTCTGGTAACCATGGCTTGCCATTTAGAGCTTTCGTCTAGCTGAACTATAGCCCAACAGTCACTACAAGCGCTGTGTGACCCGCTTGAAATGTGGAGATACAAATAAATTCGCTGTCAGTAAAATACAATAACCCAAAGCACCAAGTCTTGACTTTCACAGGTCTATAAACCATTCATTAAAGAAAACTGACCTCAAACCCAGTTCATTATTCCATAGGAGAATGTTTTAAACATTTTCATTCAGATATTTATCGAATCTGTATTTCCCTAGACACTGTCCTAAACACTGGACATACAACTGAGGAAGAACATGAGACACTCTACCCTAGTTTCATGGTACGTCCGTCACACAACAGCGCACTCTTCATAAAAACAAAACAATCCCCAAAGAATGCTTCTCTAAACGAGGGAGACAAAGAGATACAAAGCTTGCTCATCCGCTCTTCCTCCCACCCGACATTCTCTGTGGACTTCGTTAAAGTTTATTTATGTTGCCTTTTGGGGACTTTCACTAATAAGCCACATTCAGCATTTCACTTTCAGTATCTGATGGCCATTCGGAGACGCTCAAGAAATTCTGCACACAAGACTACTCAACACCCCCCTGCGCCCCCTGAAAACAGCAGACTTGCTTTCTGATGACAGCCTTTATTACAATCCTTCACTTCTGCAGGCTTCGCAAGGATTTCCCGTGCAAAGGAGACTCTCGCAGGCATGTCACGACCTAAGAGACGAATTCCTGCCTACATTCAGGTGTCACGATCAACTGAGCGGCAAGACTGCCGTTAGGAGAGCGAAGAGAAGGACCTGGAATCGTGGCCATTCGGGTACCCTGAGGGCATCAGAACCCGGCAGGGCTGTCAAACGCCAGATGCCCCAGCTCGCGCCTGCATCCTCCTGAGCCCCGGGAGCCTCCTCGGGACTCAACGCCGACAGGACAAACTACGCACCGCCGGCAGCAGGGCGGACTCGAACGAAGACGCGGGCCCCCGAGCAAAGCCGGGCAAGGCCGGGCCTCCGCCCAGGGCCACGGGGCTCGCACCGGGCTGGGGGAGGGGGTGTGGACCAGAGGATTTCCCAGCGCCACGGCGGAAGGACACAGCCCGGACGACCTCTGCCTCCACAGCAGGAGTACCCGAGCTGACAGGCCGTGTCCAGGTCGGGTCGCGAAGCCTTACCTCAGCGCTCGGATGTTTAAAAGTATCTAAAAATAGCAGCTCCATGGACGAGTCCACCGCCATGTTTGCCGCGGGCGGGGGACGGGGAGATGACTTCCGGGGCAGCTCTCCAACCTCCCGGGCTGAGGCTCGGGGGAGGGAAAAACGGCGGCACTTCCGGTAAACAGGCCGCCGTCGCCCCAAGCCTCGGCCTATCGCGTCGCTTCTCCTGCCACCAGTCGCAGGCCCCGCCTTCCCCAGCGCGGCAGACGACTCCCTCTGGAAGCCCAGAGGGGCCGAGGAAAGAGGGGCGGGGACTACGGCGTCCGCAGTGGTCCAAACCCCGTCGTTCTCCAGCGCTGAGATTCCGCGACGCTGAGAGGATAGAAGAATGCCAAGTCGACACGTACAACACCGTGCACCTCCCACGAGGCATCGTTTCCAAGCAAAAATATTCAATGAATGAATATGGAAAGACACTGTTTTGTTTTTGTTTTTGTTTTTTAAAAGGACTCATTTGCTAGCCAATTTTCTGGAGGTGGAAGCAGGAGAATTAAGGATTTTAAGACCAGCCTTGACTGTATTGTGAGTTGGAGGCCAGCTTTGGCTACATGAGACCCTGTCTCAAAGAAAAAAAAATGAGAAAAAGAGAAAAAAAAATACTTGTCTGAGTAAACGAAAGGAATATTTTCTCTTTTTTAAAATGTAAAAAACGATGAATGATTGATTCCTAACCCAGGGACTGATTGTGAGGATTAGTTTGTAATGACGTTCGAAAAAAAAGTGTAAACGAAATGTCACAAAGAATACAAAAGAGGCACAGTGAATGTCCCCTCTGACTGAGGTGAGGTCTGTCCGTTCCAGCACACCAAGGACAAAGGGGGAGTTTGAGCCTGAGGCCAGCCAAGACTACTCAGTGAGAACCTGTCTCAAAATTAAGAGTTTGTTTTAATTTTGTGAATAGCCTCTCTGTCGAATGTTGGATACCTGCAGTTATATATAGTCCTAGGGAGAGTGTTGGGGAGTTTCCCTCAATTCTAGAACTCTCGGGAACCATTGATCAAGACACAAAGTGGTAGCGAGTAAACAAAAGCAGTTATGTAAAAGCAGGAACAGGCAGTGAGAGAGAGTGAGGTGGATCAGCTCACAGGGTCTGGACTACCTCCCTCTCACGGTTTTGTGTATCTGTGTCTGTCTGTCTGCTTCTCGTCCTCTGATAAGCAGGCTAGAAATGTTTGCCTTTCGCTAGTTTGTTTGCCAGAATTGCTTTCAACTACAGACTGTCTGCTCATTTTTTAGGTTTGTTCAGGGTCTTATATTTGATCTCATGGCCTTCTCTTAGGACATTTTCTTCTTTTTAAAACTGATGTTTCACACTGAAGGCTGGAGCCAGGGTAAACAAGAACCAGAACTCAAGCTGTCTGTGGGAGTCCCTTCTCCCACACCCTTGCCCATGTCCAGCTTCCCCCTAACAAGATGTGCAGGAAATAGCAAGGAAAAGTACATGAACTTCTCCCTCACCTACAAAAAAAGCCTACATATATGCCCAGAAACACCAATTCAATATGTCCACACACATTTTTGTTTTTCTTCAGTTCTGGGACTCAAACCTTAGACCTTGAGAAGGTTTGGCAAGAACTCTACAGGGAACTAAATCCCTAACCCACAGGCTTTAAAGACTCTTAAGTAGCCCAAGGGGCTGTAAAAATTGCAACCCTTCTACCTCTGCCTCCCAGCTCTCGGATTACAGAGATGCGCCAGACCAGGCTGTCTTGTTTCTGAGCAGTTTTATAAGAAATTGCCCGGACAGTATAGAGAGATCCCATAGTTTTTCTTTCCCCACTCAGAATCTCCTTTCATCAATAACTTGTGTTAACACTGTGCATGTATTACAACTGATCAGCCAATATTGATAAATTGTTATTATGTAGTGTTACACAGTTTTGACAAATACATAATACTACGTAGCCACTGCCACAATCACAGAATAATTTGGAAGCCTTTTATTTCACTCTTTTTCCTAGGAGACATGTGTGTTTGTATGTTTGCTTGTGGGCCCTGTCACCCTGACTGATTTGAAACTTACTGTGTAGACCAGGCTGGCCTCGAGCTCACAGAAATTCCCAAATACTGGGGTCAAAGCTTTGCACCCTCATGCCCACCTCAGGCCTTATCTTTTTTTTAATTATTTATTTATTTATTATGTATACAATATTCTTTCTGCGTGTGTGCCTGCAGGCCAGAAGAGGGCACCAGACCTCATTACAGATGGTTGTGAGCCACCATGTGGTTGCCGGGAATTGAACTCAGGACCTTTGGAAGAGCAGGCAATGCTCTTAATCACTGAGCCATCTCTCCAGCCCAGGTCTTATCTTTTTGTTGTTTCTACAGTGTGCCTTTTCCATAACGCCATGTAGATAGGTTCCTTCAGGAGGTTGCCATTGCAGACTGGCTTTGATGACAACAGCTCTCCCCACTCCTCATAGTTTGGTAGTTTTTATGGAGTTTTTGTTTGTTTACTTGCTTGCTTGCTTGTTTGTTTTTATTTGAATTTGTTTGTTTTGGTTGGGTTTGGATTTGAGTTTCTTTGCTTCTGTTTTCCTGAGGCAGGGTCTCACCACCTAAGCGTTTTAGCCATTCTCTGGCAGATTGGACCCTTGATGCAGAGGTATTTGGTGTGCCCATTCCTTTGTGTACATCGTGCTCTTTTCCTTGACTAAGGTGTCTTCACTGTGGCTCTCAGAATCCACTGCTGGATCCAGGGCGATAACTCAGCTGGTAAAGCACTTGCCTTACAAGTATGAATGAGGTCCTCCATTCAGTCTCCAGCACCCACATAAAGAGCCAGCCATGGTGGTGTGGTTTTGTAATCCCACTGCTTGGAAGGCAGAAACAGAATCCCTGGAGCTCACTGGCCAGTCAACCTGTCCTGGTTGGTAAACTCCAGGTTCTAAGGAGAGATCCAGTCTCAACAAGCAAAGTGGACAGTCCCTGAGGAATTAACCCCAGAGGCTGACCTCTGCTCATTACATGTACGTGTGTATGAGCATTGCACACACTCATACACACCACACATACACGCATGCACACATGTGCATGCGCACACACATAATGGGGAGAGTAAAAATTTACACACAGTTATGTAATATCCAAAAGAATAACCTACCTGGGTCAGCTTTCATTTCTGAGACAAAATTAAGATAAAATACATGAGATGGTCAACTTAGTAGAGAAGGAGCAAAGATCATCTGGCCCTATTCCTTTGGGCCTGTGGTGAAGCCAACATCTTAGCACAGTAGTGGACACAGAGCAGAGGCAGTCAGGTCTTTGCTCATTCAAGGCCAGCCTGGTCTACATAACCTAAATAGGGAGTTCCAGGCCAGCTACAGCTATACAATGAGAACGTGTCTTAAAGAAAAATAAATAAATAAGGAGAAGGGCAGGTTCTGTGGCGTATTGAACAAGAATGGCCTGATAGGCTCATGTATTTGAACACATGGTCCCCAGTCAGTGAAACTGAGGCGGGAGAGGAGGTATATCCTGGTTGGAAGGATGTTGGAGGCCTTGTTAAGATGGAAATACCAATCAAACTTATTTTCAGGTTTATCTCACCAGCTTCCAAAATGCTAGAGGTCAGTCAAGACATGGTGCTACACACTCAAAACATGGGGAAGGAGGGTCTTAAATTTGATGGCTTCTTGGCTACATAGGAAAAATCCTTTCTCAAACAAACGAAGAAAACCACAGCAATCGAGCCAACCAAACAGAACAGAACACTTCCAGTGACCTTTTCCTGAAGAAATGGAAAAGGTAAACTGATAATCAAATTCATAAGAAATTTCCCAGGACCCCAAATGTACAGTACAATGCTGAGAACTAAGAACAAATTCAGAGATTCAAAGTTACTGATTTCAAAACTTCCTGCCTACACTGCAGTGGTCAAAATGGTGAGACAGGGGTTGGAGAGCTGACTCAGCAGTTAAGAGCGCTGGATATTCTTCCAGAGGGTGGGTTCACCTCACAGTACCCACATGGTGGCTTACAGACATCTCTAACTCCTGTCCCAGGGGGATGTGATGTCTTCTTCTGTCCTTCTCAGGCACCAGATGTGCACGTGATGCACAAATGTGCAGACAAAACATCCATACAAAATAAATAATAAAAAATGTAATTACCGTGTGATAGTGATGTAAGAATAGACACAGAATAAGCTTTCTGATTTGTAGACAACATTCCAAGATTCCCAAGACATCCTCTACATGTAGTGTGATTTCCCAGATGTATGCACACAAACATACCGTCTTTTCCATCATAACCACATTACGACGTTCTTACATGACGTTGCATCTCCTGTAGTTGAAGCTGCCATGCAAAACCAGCACAGATTTATTGTTCTTCTTTACCATTTGATGACTAGAAGGTTTGTTCTTCCCGTGTCTTAGTCACAGCTCTGCTGCTGTGAAGAACCATGGGTGAAGCACCTCTTATAAAACAAAGCCTCTGGGAGTGGCTTTCTTACCGTCTCAGAGGGTTAGTCCACTGTTACAGCGGGAAGCTGACAGGCGTGGTGCTGGAGTAGTAGCTAAGAGCTTTCTGTCCTGATCTGCAGTGAGCAGGTAAGGAGAAACACTGGATCTGGCGTGGGCTTTTGAAACCTCAGAGTTCAACCTCGGTGACACACTTGCTCCAATTTCCTAATCATTCCCTAGCAGTTCTACTAACTGGTGATCAAGAATTCAAACATATGAGCCTAGGGCTGGAGAGATGGCTCAGCGGTTAAGAGCACTGCCTGCTCTTCCAAAGGTCCTGAGTTCAATTCCCAGCAACCACATGGTGGCTCACAACCATCTGTAATGAGGTCTGGTGCCCTCTTCTGGCCTGCAGGCATACATGTAGACAGAATATTGTATACATAATGAATAAATAAATATTTTAAAAATGAGAAAAAAAACAAACATATGAGCCTAAAAGACAAAACAAAACAGAAGCTGGGCAGTGGTGGTGCCCGTTTTTAATCCAAGCACTTGGGAGGCAGAGGCAAGTGGATCTCTATGAGTTTAAGGCTAGCCTTGTCTGGTCTACAGAGTGAGTTCCAGGACCAACTCCACAGCTATTAAGAAATCCTGTCTTGGAAAAAAACAAAAACAAACAAAACAAACATATGAGCCTATGGGAGCCATTCTCATTCAAACCAGCACAGCATAGATCTTTGCAACATCAGCAACTTTTTTCTTTCCTAATTAAGTTAACTGCCTTGCTCTTTTCACTTAAAAGCAGCAATTTCTGACTTAACTTTGAAATGTGCAGCCTGTTGGCATTACTACTGGTGATGGTTAATCTTCTGGTCCATTTGCCTGGACTTAGAATCACTATGGAAACACACCTCTGGGTGTGTCAGTGGTGGTATTTATAGAAAAGTTTGACAGGGAAAAGAAGACCCATCCTGGATGTGGGAGTCTCAGATTGAATAAGGAGAAGTCAAGCCCAGCACTGAACTCATCTCTCTGCTCTCTGGTTGCAGATATAAAATGACTGATGTCATGCCATTCCTGTACACCTTTAAACTGGAAGTCAAACTAAATATTCATTCAATTTGGTTTAGTTAGTAAGGTCACTTGATGCCAAGCCTGATGACCCAAGCTCAATATTCAATCTCTGAGATACACAGTGAAGAAGAAAAATCGACTCTCCAAAGGTCTCCTATGCTCGCTCTCTTTTTCTCTCTCTCTCTCTCTTTCTCTCTCTCTCTCTCCCCTCTCTCTCTCTAAACAGAAAATTTTAAATTTGATCACATCAACATGAGAAGTCACTAAAACACTACTCTTGAGCTTTGGGATGGTTCTTGTTTTTTGTGGATAAGTTATGGAATTTGTTTGGATTTAACTTTTCAAAAGACAAGCATAACACTTCACTTTCTAGAAAGCCATCTCACCAGAAACTGAGAAAGAGTACTTAATGCAAGAATATAAGCTTCACGAGTCCTCCTGCAAAATAGACACACTCTGGTCAGTTTCCTCAGTGAAGGTTTGTGTCAAACTTCCCTCCCAACTTCTACTAAGACATTAATTCAAGGTCTGTCTGTGTGGACTTTTTCCAGAAATTACATCGAAGATTAAGATCTTACTATTTTGGTCTTTCCAAGTCATACACATCAGAAAAATAAGAAATCACTTTTCCCAGGGGGCCGCATGTTGACTTATCACAACACGTCTAAGCTAAATATTCCCCGGCAGGTAGGAGAGGCTCACAGCAGCATACATAGTCTAAGACCACATCATGTTTTTGCCAGACCAGAGAGTTTTTCTATATTCAGACTAGAGACGTGCGGCATGGTCAATTAGGCTGATAGTCTTGGATTTACTAGTTTAATAAAAATGTGTTGCTTCAAGTTTCTTGGGCTCGTTCAAATAACATTCCAGAACCTACTGATGTATTGGGCTTTCCGGGCAGGACGTCATGTCCAGAAAGATAATGGACCACTGGCTTCTTAGAGCGCTGGCCTCAGATTTGTTCTGTAGCCACTTCCTGGCTTTTCTACAGTTCTGAGTAACATTATTTAGCAAGTTTTAACCTGAGACTGCCGTCACTGGGAAGAGGAAGATGGAGTGACATGTGTGCTCTAACTCCTGCTTATGCACACTGGGTCTAAACCTGCCGATTGAGTGAACTCAAAGCAAGAGTTTTTCTTCTCCTTATATACAGGTCTGACTTTGTAGCTCAGGCTAGCCACTAACTCACAATTTCCCAAGTGCTGTCCTGGGCTGCTCTAGAGATTCCTTACCTATCTCTGTCTTCCCAGTTTTGGGAGTATAAGCACATAGCATTACACTAGGCTTTAAAAATTATCTTTTTTTATGGGTATGTGTGTGCATGTCTGTGTGTATATATACCACATGTGTGTGTGACCTGCAGACTCAAGAAGAGGGTGCCAGATACCCTGGAGCTGGAGTTACAGATGGCTGTGGCTACCTGGGTCCTCTGGAAGGTCGGCAAGGGCTTTTGGTCATTGACCCATGTTCCCAGCCCCTACACTTGTTTTTTTTAATGTGGTTTCTAGGATTGAACTTGTCTTCATTCTTACCTGCTGAGCTATCGCCCCAGCCTAAGAATATAGGAGTTTTTTTCTGATGTATTGCCTGTTTGTTTGTTTGTTTGTTTGTTTTTAAGATAAGATTTCTCTGTGTAGGCCTGACTTTCCTGGAACTTGCTCTGTAAACCAGGCTGGCCTTGAACTAACAGAGATTCTTCTGCCTTTGTGAGTTCTGGGATTAAAGGATTAATGGCGTGTAATACCACCACCTGGCAATACAGGTTTTTAATTTAAAGGACTGTTTCAATAATCATGGCAAGAAAAACACCAAAGCCAGACAACCTGTCGATTAAGTAATGCAGAGAATGTGGCTGTCATTGCTGTGAACGGGCACATAAGTCTTAGTGGAAGGGTCTGCTTTTGAAATGGTTGAGTTAGGGGACTGCAAGATAGACTGTAAGGGGAGCTGGGGAGGGCAAAGGTTGAAAGTAAGTACAGTAGCCTTGTAGGTCTCCCACGGTGAGTCTAGTTTCTCATGACCTTTTCTCTGTGCCTTTTTGTGGGACAAAGTAGGGGAAATAGAGATGCTGACCCTATCCCCACGTAGAAGTAGGGTTCAGCATCCAGGCAGAGCCAACGACCCTGTCCTAGATAAGGGATGGTATGGTTTATCCAGCTACCTATCAATCTTAAGGCCTCGGTTTCAGGGATACCACTTGAAGTTGGGGCTATGTCCTGCCAAGAAGGTAGGGTTATAGGAAGGGGTAGGAATAGGTCAACTTGGGTTAGAGGGTTCTGGGAACCTGGCACATAGCTGATGGCTGCCTACCGTTGTTAAAACTGAGGTTTGACTTTACCTTATGGACTGAGTAGGTCAGAGGCAAGAGTACTATTGGTTTTGGACGGGGCAATCAGCTTCTTCAGGGACCTATAGGAGTAGCCTAGCAGTTCATCTCTGTCGAGTGAACTCTACACTGGGATTATTTCCCAAATCTCTAAGCATGAATTTCAGGTTCGACCTGTAAGCTGGTCTTTGGTACTTAGCTCTTCCTAGTTGTAGGTCCCAGGTTTGACTCCTGGGTTACAATCCTGGAAAGGATTTTTCCACTGAGTGGAGATGCATGGGTCTTTTTGTCTGCCCTGCACAGATTCAGGAAGGAGCAATGAAAAATCCACTTCCATCTGTGACGATGGCTGGGAACACACAAAACCGTGAATAGCGTAGGATTGTTTTCCAGATCTTAGTCCCACATCCTGGGTGGTTGGAATGACAACTCTCCCACTTGCCCATGACTTCACTTCAAAGAAATCACGCAGGTCAAATCTAAACACAGGGTTGGAGGTAGCGTTCTGGAAAACACCTATTATTTTTCTGTCTGAGGTTCAAGACAATTCCCAATCCCAGATCTCAGTATTTCTAGTTGGCGATGTATGGAGTTACTGGTTAGAATTCCCAACCTGTGTCAGACTGAGTATGAGCTAAGATGAGCCGCACCAGTAGAGGGCGCTAGGGAGCACCTTTCTTTTGGCGGGTCATATTGGCCATTACATGGGAAAGAGGGGTTCAAGTCCTAGTACCTGCTATCTTGACTGCTGTGGGTGTTGTCAGGATTACAGCTCCTTCCTGGTTCCAGCATCTCACTGAGTAGGCAGGGAAACCCACTCCAAGTACCCGGTTAGAACTTGTGTGTTGGTTCAGTAAAAGTAGTGTTGGGAGTGGGGGTGGGGGACTCTGGATATCCTAGGTCATCTGCTGCAATACCAATAAGGACTTGAGGAAAGAAGAGTTAGACAGTTCAATGGTCTGTGGGCTTCCCTTTGCAGGAATAAGCAGAGATGGGTGGCCAAACATTATTTCAAATGGTGTTAGCTGGTTATGGTGATGGTGGTGTTGAAGGGGGGTACCTGATCCTAAGAATATGTGTGTGTGTGTGTGTGTGTGTGTGTGTGTGTGTATACATATGAGAGAGAGAGAGAGAGAGAGAGAGAGAGAGAGAGAGAGAGAGAGACAGCAGTTTCTGCCAGAATTTAATCTATGTTTCTTTAATAATCCTATTAGCTCTTTCTACCTGTCCCAAACTTCGGGGCCTACAAACACAATGTGGTTTCCAATGTATCCCTAGCATTTTAGCCTCTTGCTGAGGCACTTTGGAAGTGAAAGATGGGCCATTGTCAAATCCAAGTGAGGAGGGAAGGCCAAATGGAGTAACTTTTAGTAACCATTTTAGCCGTTTCTGACCCAGTGGGAAAAGCTCCTACCCATCCTGAAAGAGTATCCATAAAAACCAGCAAATATCGACAGTCAAACCTTGTCAGAGTAACTTTAGGAAAATCCAGATCTCAGTGTTCACCAGGATATATAGGCAAATTCTGTCTCAAAAATTTTTCAACCCAGGCATGGCATACATACCTGGAATCCCATTATTTAGAAAGCAGAGTCAGGGGAGCATGAGTTTGGGACCAGTCTAGACTAGAAATTAAGGCTCTTGTCAATAAATAAATCCCAGAGAAAGTCCTGGCTCCTCAGCATCACAGGAAGGACCAACAACACACCAACGTCCTCTCTGTCTGCAGTGACTTTTTGCCATGGCACATACATTCCAATTAAATCCACCTCCTTGAGCAGTCTGCACACAAGCCATACTAGCATACACCTCGAAGTCTTGCTCATGAGCGGAGACAAACTTGCGTTTCTCCTGCCTCCAACTTTGCCGTCTTCCTTCTCCACTTCAGCTCATTTCACGGGAAGCTGACTCACACTTTGCTGGACAGCATCACTCCACACAACTAACACTGCATCAAGAACACCACGCTTACAGCATCTATGCATGTACCTTCGCTTATCGCCGGCTCCTCTGAGCGCAGAGACTGCCCTGTTCATCTCTGGATTCCCAGCATGTCCCTTCCACAGGTCCATCATCCAGCCTCAATCACTGCTTAGTGGATTAAATGGAAATGGATAGGTTAATTTTAATACAATTATTCCTTTAAATTTTACGTGTTACCAGCCCCCCGCCCCACCATGACATCTGAAACCACAGGAGCCTTGGCCCTGAATGCACCAGGAGAGGTGAGTGTCTGGGTCCCCAGCTGGAGGGCCCTACCCTCTAGGCCCTAGCCCCTGGAGGTAAATCTGTGCCCCACCCCATCCAGCAAAGACCTGGGAGCAGCCTCCCAACAATCCCCCAAGGCACCTGCAACTACTGGACCCTTGGCCCCGCCTACACCTGGAGGCGCTTCAGCGTCTATAGCATCCGCCAGAGGCAGGGATCGGCCTGCACCTGGAGGAAGAGTGACCGCCTAAGCCACAGGCTCTGCCTGCATCAGTTAGAGGAAAAGATAGGCAGATGGCAGTGTAAAACCACATTCGACAACATAGAGAGCCATGTGGCATCACCAGAAACTGGTGGGTCTACATCAGCAGGACCTGAACATCCCAACAGATCTAATACCAATACTCCTCAAATTGTACCACACAATAGAAGCGGAAGGGACATTGTCAAACTCTTTTTACGAGGCTACAGTTACCCTGATACCCAAACAACACAAAGATGCGACTAAGAAAGAGAATTACAGACTAATCTCCCTCACGAACATTGATGCAAAAATACTCAATATAATACTGGCAAACCAAATCCAAGAATACATCATAAAAAAATCATTCACCATGACCAAGTAGGCCTCATCCCAGAGATGCAGGATTGGTTCAACACATGAAAATCTATCAATGTAATCCACCATATAAACAAACTGAAAAAAAAATAACATGATCATCTCATTAGATGCTGAAAAAGCCTTTGACAAAATCCAACACCCCTTCATGGTAAAGGACTTGGAGAGATCAGGGATACAAGGAACATACCTAAACATAATAAAGGCAATATACAGCAAGTCAACAGTCAACATGGTGTGGTTGACAATTCTGTGGCTTGGGCAGTTTGTGAGGCCATTAGCAGTGGAACCAGTATTTATTCCTAGTGCATGAACTGACTTTTTGTAGCCCATTCCCTATGGAGGGATACCTTGCTCCACCTAGATACGGAGGGGAGGGCCTTGATCTGGCGTCAAGTGATGTGACAGACATTGTTGACTTCCCAAGGGAGTCCTCACCTTCTCTGAGGAGTGGATGCAGGGTGGGGTAGAGGGAAGTTGGAGGGAGCAGGAGGAGGAGAGGGAGAGGGAACTGGGATTGGTATATAAAATAAGATTGTTTTAAAAATTTAAAAATTACATGTTAGGCAAAATTAAATTTTGCTGCTACTTGGTAGCTAATACGGTCTCCCAAGTTGTAAAAGAAATTTAAAATAATGGGGCATTGCTTACCATTAACTATAGTTTTCTTCTGTTTAAAAAAAGATCCAGAACTTCTACTTCTCACAAGAAAGAAACTAAGAGCAGTGGTGTCTCCGCAAACATAAACTCTTGTAAGAAGTCTCCCGAGGGAGCTGGGGATGTAGGGCAGTTGTCCACCTCACACTTGCAAAGCCCTGGCCTCAGTACGAGCATTGAATAAAAACGAAATGCTGCCATATGCCTGCAATTCCAGCAATCCCATGTGGTGGAGACAGAAAGATCTGAAGTGCATGACTACGTAAGAATTTGACGCCCACCTGAGCTACTGGAAACCCTGTCTCAAACATAAAATAAAATAAAATAAAATAAAATAAAATAAAATAAAATAAAATGCTTTTTGCAAACTCCTGGAGCTCCTTGCAAGCCCTGGGATGCATGACGCATACTGCGGCTTTCCTGTGTCAAATGACTGGGCCCGCGGCGTTGCTACTTCCTGAGTGAGGACAGCACACACTCCTTTGCCAGGAGGTTGCTTGCAGACAACAGCTGTCTTGAAAGTTACCTTTGGTGGGCACGTGTGTCCCAGTGACATGAGACTGCCTTTGGAAAATCCTGACTCTCCATTTCTTTCTTTCTTTTTTGATTAAAAAACAGTCGCTTCATTTCCATTTTTTCCGCAGCCCCCAGTAGCACAGATGAGAACCCTCTAACACACAAAATATTTCAAGAAAGCGTGTTACAAGATACAAGGTATAAGAAATAATGTGGCAGAACTCTATCAACTCTAGCAGTTCAGAAGCCCCCCATCCACATTTATAATTCAAAAATAAGAGTTAACTGTATTTAACATATATTACAGCTTAACATATACCACCACACCTGGCTAGTATAAATTTAAAAACTTTAAAAAAATAAACGTTATTTTAAAACTTGCAAATCAGTAAAAACATTACATGCCAAAATGAACCAGATCTAAAGTCTATACAACTTGATGAACTTACATACAGTTAGAATCAGCATTGAAATGCAAAGCTTCACGTTAAATTTGACACTTTCCGTAGCTAATCTATTGTATATAGCTATCCACCACCCAAATCAGAAACCTTTTTCAAGATTTATTTTTTATTATGTATACAGTGTTCTGCCTGCAGGTCAGCAGAGGGCGCCAGATCTCATTACAGGTGGTTGTGAACCACCTTGTGGTTGCTGGGAATTGAACTCAGGACCTCCAGAAGAGCAGTCAGCACTCTGAACCTCTGATCCATCTCTCCAGCCCTGAAACTTTTTTTTAAAGATTTATTAATTTATTAAGTATACAGTGGTCTGTCTGCATGCATGCCTGCAGGCCAGAAGAAGGCACCAGATCTCATTACAGGTGGTTGTGAGCCACCATGTGGTTGCTGGGAATTGAACTCCGGACCTCCGGAAGAGTAGGCAGTGCTCTTAATCACTGAGCCATCTCTCCAGCCCGAGAAAGTTCCAGGTTTTTTTTGTTTTGTTTTGTTTTGTTTTGTTTTGTTTTTTGGTTTTTGGGGGTTTTTTTGGTTTTGTTTGTTTGTTTGTTTTGTTTTTTGTTTTTTCGAGAGTGGGTTTCTCTGTAGCTTTGGAGCCTGTCCTGGAACTAGCATTTGTAGACCAAGCTGGCCTCAAACTCACAGAGATCTGCCTGCCTCTGCCTCCCGAGTGCTGGGATTAAAGGCGTGCACCACCACCACCCGGCATGAAACTTTTTTAAGTATGCCAAAATCAAACCTTTTCCTTTCCTCTTCATTTTCTTGAAACAAGATTTCACTATGTAGCCCTGGCCAACCTCAAGCTTGTGGGAAATCCTCCTGACTCTACCTCCTGGATGCTGAGATCATAGAAACATACAACCATGCTGGGATACTGCTAATTATTGGTCATTCTTAATGTAGTGGCTAGGGCACATTGAGTCATCTTGAACTTGAACTGGTTCACAGGCTTATTACATAAGGGATGTAGCAATACTCTGTGATTATACTGATTACATCAGTTTCCTGTCTACTGTAACAAACTGGCATAAACAGACTTGGCTGGCAATGGTGTTCGCCTGGCATTCAATGCCCTGGTGCAATCTACAGCACTGGGGGAAGAGCCACAGGTTTATCTTTCTTACAGTTCTAGAAGCCAGCAATCGAAAAACCAGTCACCAAAGTTTATTTTGGAAGCTCTTTGGGACAATCTGCTTTGTGGCCTGTTCCTGCTCTGAATTCCTCAGAGGGTCCCTTCCCTCTTCCTTCATGCTCAGAGTCAGGAGTATCTCACATTCAATGCTCTTTCTCATCTGTGCTTGCACTATACTCTTTGCTTAAAGGTTGCAAGGGGCCCACTTTAACAATCCACCACAGTCTCTCCATATCTAAGTCATTAATCACATCATCAAAGCCCTTGGGCCACTTAAAATAATACAGTGTACGTGGACTTTTCTGTTTCACCAACCAGTTCCCAAATAACCACATATGAGACTTAATATTCATTATAAATGCTCAGCTGATAGTTCAGGCTTGTTCTTAGCTAACTCTCATAACTTAAATTAACATATTTCTATTAATCTATGTGCTGCCCTGAGACTTGTTTGCCTCGTGAATGTACAGATGTGGGATAATCCTTCTGTATGCTGTGAATATGTATTACTCTCATTGGTTAATAATAAAGCTGATTGGCCTATAGCAAGACTGGATAAAGTTAGGTGGGACAATGAAACTGAGGACTCAGATGAAGAAGGGTGGAGTCGGGGGCAGAAGCCAATGAGCTACCCAAGAAGCAAGATGCTAGCGGACAGATAAAGCCACTACTCATGTGAATACATAGAATATTAGAAAGTGTTTAATTTAAATGTAAGAGCTAGTTAGTAATAAGCCTGAGCTATTGACCAAGCATTTTGTAATTAATATAAACTTCTAGACTGGGCAGTGGTGGTGTACTCCTTTAATCCCAGCACTTAGATGGTAGAGACAGGCAGATCTCTGTGCGTTCAAGGCCAGCCTGGTCTACAGAGTTAGTTCCAGAACAGGCTCCAAAGGTACAGAGAAACATTGTCTCAAAAAATCAGAAATAAATACATAAATAAAATATATAAGCTTCTGTGAGTTTATTTGGGATTTGGGCAGTCAAGACAGGGAAACCCCACCTCTGCTTACAACGTCCTTCCCATCCCGCCTGCTTGCTCTGCATCTTGTGCTGTCTCCTCTGACTTCATCCTTCTTCCCAGCATTCTCTCTACCCACAAAATCCTGCCTAGCCATTGGTCATTCAGTTTTTTGTTAATGAGAGCAACACGCTTCACAGTGTACAATAGGCTTATCTCACAGCACTATAGTGACAGGTTCTGAAGATTGGGATGTGGAATTGGGAACAGGGATCAATAGTCAGTCTACTATAATGCCCAGTATTACAACTTTAACCAAGAAAGCACTGGGACTCACAACACAAGTATGTCACATCAATACACCCAGATGGCGCGCGAGAGAAAACCTGTCTTTCTATTTCCAAACTACCAGTGCTGAGCTGGCCCATGCAACAGCTAAGTGGTAGAGAAATTGCCTAGTATGAAGAAAACCTTGGGCTTGCCCAATAATCTGACCCAATGCTAAATGTATTCTCTCGCTTTGAGAAAGAGTGATGTGCACTGCTGGACAAATATTGAAGACTGTGGACACAGACCCTGCTCTAACGTTCAGAGTTTAGTGGAGGAAGGAAGACATTGAGTAAGCAAATACAGTCGTGGACGGAACAACAATCCCTCACCCCTAAGTTCATAGTTCGAATTAATGCCTAATTCCTTAGGTAATGGTATTGAGAAGTAATGTCTTTAGGAAGTGGTTAGTGCCCTTGTCAAAAAAGACCCAAAGAGTTAGCCAGCACCTTCTGTCATCTGAGCAATATGAATGGATCTGGGTTCTGTGAGCACCCACCAGGATTTCTGCATTCTGTGTCCAGGAACAAAGAATTGAGCAGGGCAAGACCGAGTCATAGAGAAAACCAGAAAGCAGAGAGACAGTTCATTAAGAAATAATGTGCTAACTGGGCATGGTGGCGCACGCCTTTAATGCCAGCACTCAGGGAGGCAGAGGCAGGTGGATCTCTGTGAATTAAAGGACAGCCTGGGCTACAGAGTGAGTTCCAGGAGAGGCTCCAAAGCTACAGAGAAACCCTGTCTCAGGAAAGAAAGAAAGAAAGAAAGAAAGAAAGAGAGAGAGAGAGAGAGAGAGAGAGAGAAAGAAAGAAAGAAGGAAAAAGTAGAAAAGAAAGAAGAAAGAATCCACTTCCAAGGAGAAATAATCCACTTCCAAGGAGAAATAATCCACTTCCAAGGACGTGGATGGGGTAGAAATGGTAGCACATGGGGTAAGGCAGAGTTCTCTTTCTTTCTTTCTTTCTTTCTTTCTTTCCTTCTTTCTTTTTTAATTTATTTTGTTTATTTTATTTTATTTTATTTTTGAGACAGGGTTTCACTGTGTAGCCCTGGCTGTCCTGGAACTCATTCTGGAGACTAGTCTGACTCTACCTTCTAAGTGCTGGGATTAAAGGCACTTGCCACCACCACCAGGTATTTCTTTTTTTTTTAAAGTATAATATAATTATATCATTTCCCCTCCCCTTTCTTCCTTCTAACCTTCCTCCCTCAAGTCACCCCCTTACTCTCTTTCAAATCCATGACCTCTTTTTTCATTAATTGTTACATGCATATATGTATGTGTAGATTCATATATATTCCCTAATAAAACCTGGACTATATAATATTTCTCGTATTTTAAGAGTATTCCAGCATGTATTAATGTGCTCCAGGTGTGAGCCACCACGTGGGTACTGGTAACAGAGCAGAGCAGCAAAACTCTCTCCGCAGCAGCGGGAAATGTCTTCCGCTCGGCACCGGCTCTCCTACGCGAGGTCTGTCTGCTGCAAGTTGGCCTAGGGAGAAATGGCTCCCAGCTTTCCTCTTGGCTAACAGGCGTTTATTGAATGCTAATTCCAGTTTTCGCTCTTCTGCCTCAGGAGGAAACAGCAAGAACTCACTGTGAACCTTCCTCTCACACTGACATTGCCCGCATCCTGAGCTGACTTCTAGGCTCCAGAATGGCGAGATATAAAATTTAATCGTTTATAACCTATCAAGTTTATGGTATTTTGTTACAGAAGCTCAAACAGACCAATATGAAAATCAATAAATTCAATCAATAATTAAAAGCTGCAAGGAAGAAAGCAAACAAAGTCCTGAGGGAGAATCAGTAGGGTGGTGAAGACTGACCTGCATAAAACGGTTACGCTTAATAAGGGATTTGCAGGACTAGGGTCCAGTTCTGTGTAGGCCGAGGAGA